AGGGGGACTCCTAAGGCCCCAACATCACCCAGCTCCACATGCCTCACCAGACACTGTACTCTGGTCCACCCCCATCCCACACATGAGAAGGTGCTCAGGAGAGCAAGCCAGGAAGTGTGAGGCCGACCCAGGTCTGTCGGATGTCCTCAGCAGCCCTGAAGTCCAAGAGACGGGCCTGTCTCACCTGGAAGACCCCCTGGGCATCGGCAGTGACAGCCGTGTGCAGAGGCGTCCGGCCCGAGTGGTCCTGGGCGTTGGTGTCTGCCCCGGCGTCCAGCAGCCGCTTGGCCGCATCAGCCCGGGCGTAGCGGGCAGCTAGGTGCAGGGCAGTCTCACCAGTGCGGTCGGTCTGTGCCCCAAGCTGGGCACCCTGGCAGATCAGGTCTGAGATGATGCTGGCCGACGTGTCCTCAGCCTCGTCCTCCTCAGCTGGCATCGGCTCCAGAGCCCCCCCACAGAAGGAGGCCAGCATTAGTGGAGTGAAGCCATCTGTGGGGGGTCAGGAGTGCATCGTTCGGGAAGTGGCCAGAAAGGTCTCTCCACAGCCTTCACAGGCTCTGCGTCAGGTGGGAGTGGCAGGTCCTCCCCTCTGCACACACCTGGCTCACGTGCCCCTTACAGACAGACCTTACAGGCAGGGCATGTGATCGGTCACTCAAGGGCTCCTCAGGCACAAGGGAGACAGGGCTGGGGCGAGGGAACCCAGCAAGAAGCAGTCTCAGGTGGACGCAGGCAACCTACTTTAGCCCGGGCCCCGTGACTCCAGAGAGAGAGCTGGGTCGAGGGGAAGCAGCTGTGTCTTTCACACGCCATCTCCTGCTCAGAGGCTTCCTCTGGAGACATACTCTCCTAGGTAGGGATGCCCAAAGGCAGCGGTTCTCAACCTGTGGGTCGCGACCCCTTTGGGGGTGGAAAGACCCTTTCACAGGGGTCACCCGATTCATTAACAGTGGCAAAATGACAGTGATGAAGTAGCAACAAAAATAATTTTATGGTTGTGGGGTCACCACCACCTGAATTAAAGGGTCGCGGCATTAAGAAGGCAGCGAATCACCGTCCAAAGAGAACCGCAGGTGCCAGGTGTAAATGGACGTGGAAACAGGAATGCCCTAAACTGTGGCAAAGGCCGCAAAGACAGTCCCAAGAGGGCATGAGGGGCAGCACGGTCAGCTACACCTGACACACAGATTTGCTCTGGCCTCTTTAGCGACACTCGGGTACCCCCGTTTCCATCCTTGAGCGCTGGGGTACAGACACACCTCCTCCCCCGCTCAGGAACAGGAATAATGTCTAGGTGCAACTGATGTGCATTGTCTGGCCTGCTGGCCACACTGATTGGCTCAGGCATGAGCATGTGCCTCTCGTTTGTCCAATCAGAGCTCATCCCAGGACTTTTGCTGGAACAGCTGGGAAGATGGTTGGCCAGGCTGTTGGTCTTGCTGACCCCAGGAGAAAGCCTGCTGGAGTTGGGAAACGGAGCCAAGAGGAAGATTTGAGTCTTGGATCCAGATGTGCCTGGAGCTGCCAGCTCTGTAAACCCGGAAATCCTGTTTTGTTCTATAACTTAAGCTAATGTAAGTTGGGTTTTTGTGATTGGCTTAAAACCCAGATTCCTGATTAGCACACATGCCCAGCCATACATACAGCCCCGTTCTCCCTGGACTGCGCACCCACATACAGCTGCTCCAGAGCAGGGCCAGGGAGGGGCACCATCACTGACCTGGGCCACGCACGTTGACGTCCATGCCGTCAGCATCCACGTCACCCTGCGGTGGTGTCAGCGCCATGGCTGGTGCCACGCGGATGTCTGCAGCAGCTAGGTGGTGTTGAGTCCACTGGCGGCAGTCCACAGTATCCTCAGCCCCCACACAGGGTTCCTCCACCTGGAGGTAGGGGGACAGCAGGCCCTCAGACCCATTGCTCATCAGAGGGAATGGCCGTGGCCACAGGGTCCCCCCTCATAACACCCACACAGGACCTGGAGAAACCACATACACCCCACCACGCAAGTGCCATCCAAAAACCAAAAATGAGACCCGTGGCCGTGGATTCCAGTTCACAGCGACCCCGTGTGCTGCAGAGGGGAACTGATCCATAACGTCTCCGTGGCTGCGATCTTTATGGAAGCTGATCACCAGGCTTTTCTGCCACGGCGCCACTGGGTGGATGTGAGCCACCCCCCTTTGGGTTGGTGGTCAAGTTCAAACCGTTCACACCATTAGGGAGTCCCTTCAAGTGGCATCCTGAGTTATGAATTGGGTTGCTGACTGCAAGGTCAGCCGTCGGAAACTACCGGCCACTCCATGGGAGAGAGATGAGGCTTTCCACTGTCATGAAGATGTATAGTCTCGCAAACGCCACGGAGCCAGTTCTATTCTGTCTTACAAGGTCACTCTGAAGCGGAATTGACTCGATGGCAGTGAGTTTGGGAGAATCTGGGTGGTGTAGGGGGTTATGAATTGGGATGCGAACCCCAAGGTCAGCAGCCGCTCCTTGAGAAAAACCATGAGGCTTTCTGCCTCTGTCCAGATTGACAGCCTCAGACTTCTATGGTGGGGCCTTCCGTGAAACGTGAATGACAACTTCCTGATTGTCAGAAAAATCCACACCGGATGACTGTGTATGCACGCTTCCAGCCAGTCCCACCGACTGGGATGTCGTAACCCAGGTGATTCTCAGGAAAAACAAGGTCACTTGTTCTAATTCTTAAGGGGTCTAACATAGCATGATAACTGAAGTGAAATGCACTCCAAGCCTTAGGAACACGGACGGCGGCAGTCCTGCTCTGACTTACAGGGTCGCTGTGAGTTGGAAGGGGTTCGACAGCAGGGAGGGAGGGAGGGAGTGACGGCCGTGATCATGTATCCGTTCCACAGCAGGAACTGGACAGACTGACTTGCTAGAGGTTCAAACCAAGCGCACGGCCATCGAGTGGGCTCCGACTCATGGCAAACCCTCGCGGACAGAGCAGAATTGCCCCTGTGGATTTCCAAAGCTGTCACTGGACAGGAGTAGAACGTCTCGTCTGGGTCCTGAGGAGCGGTGGGTGGTGCCCAAGTACTGGCCTTGCGGTGAGCAGCCCATGGCTAATGCTCGATATCACCAGGACTCCTGTCAGTGGCTGAAGGGAGTAACTCGGGTTTTCACACAGGTTGGAAGGAGGGGCGGGGAGCTAAGCACCTGAAGCAGATTAGCCCAAAGCCGCCTGGAGCCCAGCACCCCGCGGAGCATACCTGTCTGGACAGCAATGCCAGCTGGCTCAGAGAGAGTGAATTAGGACTCCTGATGGGCCCACAGTTATCCAAGACTGTGCTCACAGGGCATCAAATGGCTGGGGGTTTGGGGTTTGTTTGTTTTTTAAGTGGATCACCAGGCCTTTCTTCCTAGGCTGTCTGATTCTGGAAGCACTTCTGAAACCTGTTCAGCATCACAGCAATGTGCAAGCCTCCACCAACACACTAGGGGGGTGAACGGGCATGGGAGACACTGACCCACACTGTCCCTGTCAATCTTGAGATACCTCCATGTCATCAACACCGGGGCAGAGAAAGGCAGCTGAGGACTGAGCTGGACGGCAATATAACTACTCTCTGGGGTGCTCTGAATCTCTAGGTGGTACTGCCAGTTAATGTGTCTGGCTGCTAATCGAAAGGTTGGAGGTTTGAGTTCCCCCAGAGGTGCCTTTGAAGAAAAGTCTGGCGACCTACTTCCAAAGGTTCGGAAAAGCCTGTGCTGTGGTTTTCCCCTGACACTCACAGAACGGCTGATTCTTAGGGTGCTGCAAAGATACGGCCGATGCACGGGGGCGGGGGGGATATGATCCCAGTGAAGGCCGTGTGCACGTCTGAGAGACAGCCAGCAGGTGTCAGCAAACAGAAGCAGGCACCTATGGGAGCGGCCCCAGGGCAGAAAATTGCACTTAGGATCAGTGGGGTCCTCTCTGGGGCTAGGCACACTGGGCGATGTCAGATGTGGCTGAGAAAGTAAGATCCCCAGCTGACCCAGGACTGGGAGGAGGCAGGAGGAGGCAAGGACCTGCCAGCCATTGTCATCGATAGTTGCCTTCAAGTTGATTCGAATGCAGGGCGACCATGTGTGTGCAGAGTAGAATTGCTCCACGGAGTTTTGTGGGCTGTGGCCTTGCACAGAGCTTTGCGGGCTGCGGCCTTGCAGAAGCAGATACCAAGGCTTTTCTCCTGAGCTTCTGGCCTGGGGTGAAGCGCTTAACCAGGTGCACTGTGCAGGTGGCAAATCTCCTTCTCTTCCGGATGCCACAGAACAGTGACAGGGAGCTGGGAATGTTCTCAGGAGCCAGGGACATAGGGTGGTGGACAGCTGAGCCTCCCCTGGGCTTTCCCACCAGGGACCCTGCCAGTGGGCCAGAGGGACAGCACCTTCAGTCTCTTTGCCTCCGGGCAATCGGTGTCCATCCAGTCTGTGGCCTCCTCCCCCATCAGACTCTCGCCCTTGGCCATGTTCCTGCGGGGAGAATGGAAAGGGCAGATAAGCGTGGGAACACTAGGGAGGGGATTTTGGGGGTGCAATAAGAGTGGAGGTCAAAAAGGCGACGAGGTCAGGGATCTGGAATGGGGCCCAAGGCTTGGGGTCAGGCCCCAGTGAGGGGGTGCAGGATGGGATTAGATCATTGGGTGCACAGTCAGGGGTCAGGATGCGTGATGACCAGGTCATGATGGTAATCAAGGAAAGGACTCTTGTGAAGTCCGGGATTAGGACAGGCGATGGCCGGGTCCTGTTGGGAGACTGTTGTGGGATCAGAAGTTAGGATGGGTGACAGCTGGGACCTAAGATGCAATCAGGAGAGGAGGGGGATCCGGGTCAGAGCCGTGGGCAGGGGGGCAGATGAGAGGCCACAGGGGTTGGAGAGGGTGGGAGATGGAGCCAGGATGAAACAGGTTGTGGTGAAACAGTGGCCAAGGAGTGAGAGAGTGAAGGTAAATTAAGGGGTCCGGGTCAGATCTGGTCAGGGTGGGGTTGAGCATCTTGGGGACAAGTCAAGGAGTAGAAACTGAGGCCCAGGTCAAGGGCATGGAATGGAGACGAGGTAAGAGGTCCAGTCAAGAGTTAGGGTGGCTGAGAGCCAGAAGTGGATTGGAGCCTGGTGGAGCAGAGGGTCAGGGGAGCACACAGAGACCCTGAAGTCAGCTGTCCCATAGGCACACACACAGAGTGGCCGGATAACCTCTGAGAGGTGAGGCTCCATGCAATTTCAGGGGTCCGTGAGGTGGGAAATCGAGTCGGGGTCAGGGGTCAGGAACAGTGCATTCAAAGCTAGGGTCAGGCCAGGGTCAGAGGTCAGCGCCAGGCCAGGGCTGGGTCCTCACTTCATGCCCAGCGCATCCTGGCCCACGGGCTCCCGGCGGCCTTTGTGGCCTGCAGCCACGTCCTTGTGCAGCGAGAAGCCCTCGGGGAACCAGAGGGTGCTGTGCTCACGCTTGCGCCGCGCCACCATGACCCCCAGGACCAGGATGATCAGCAGGAAGACGGCGCCCGCGACCAACAGAGGCAGCAAGGGCAGACTTGGCTCAGGCGGCTCCAGCAATTCCGCTGCGGGAAGAAGCAGGGATCCAATGGGGACTGGGTCCCCACCCAGGTCGCACCCCCACCCCCAGCCCCGCCCTGGGGCAGGGCCTCACCCCGCACAGCCCGCAGAGGGTACGGGAAGTCCAGGCGCTCCACCGCCGACAGGGCACCCAGGTAGTCAGCCGCGCTCTGGGCGTCCGGGAAGCAGTGGTCATTCTCGGGGGACTGCAGACACAGCCGGTTGTCGATCTCCAGCATGACCACGGAGCTGTGGGGCAGGGGATGGACAGA